TCCATATTACACGTCCATATTTTTCGATTGTTAGTCCATATACATAAATCCTAACCCTAAGTATTATTAATATACTAAATATTAAATTGTTAATATTTTTCATATAAAGATGCGACATTATATCCTAGCACTGAAGAGGAAGAACAACAGAGTAATATTTTATATTAAAATTTGTGTTTTTATGTGTTTATCCGCCCACATTTTTCTATCCTCAGTTTCCTCTTCAAACATTTGACATATGGCGATAAACACACAATACCACTTTTGTTAACCAAAAAGATTTTTATTTTATATGTAGTGCTTTTACGTGCGCAAGAGGAGTCAGCTCGAAATGCTCCTTTCATATCGGGGAACCTGACAATTGGTGGTAATAAACTATTTTTAATTTAAATTATTTGATGCTGAACAATCTTTTTTTCAATTTTCATTTGTTAATCAAAAAATATTTTATTCTGTAATAATCATCTACGAATATATGTATGTAATAGGTAATACCAAAATAATCTTTTGTTATTCTGAAGGATATGTTCGACCATTTACTTTGATCGAACTTAATATAAAATTAGACTATAAATGGGGTTACGTATATATGTACGCTCCACAAAAGTATAGCGCCACTTTGAAATTTCGAATTTCTAATATTAGGAAAAAATTGATTTGGAAACAAAATTTTTTTATGAAACTGATTTTAGACCACTATTTATTATTACAAAAAAGTCTGAAAATAAAAACCCCGGTTAAAATATTGTAACCGAGACAAATAGGGGTGGCGCTATACTTTTGTGGAGCAGTGTATATGTGTATAAATATTTTAATAATTAAGGACAACATAACCAAGGACAGGTATCAATGTTTAACCAAGGTAAAAAATATTGAGGACGGTTAAAGTCAATGAAACATTTATCTCCACAAATACCTAACTATAAAGCCAACCAATAATTTAAATGTTTACGTTTAGTCATGAAATTGGAAATTTTACTAAAATTTAAAATAATACATAAAAAGCACACACACGGTTAAGGAGCAGACTCGGTTTCTGAGACTCGGTTTCTATGAGAACACATTTCCATTGTTTGTTAAAATATTGAATTAAATTATAATTTAGAAGGGCGTTCACGTCAAGGAGGAAGATCAAGCCGCCGAGGAAATTCACGTCCTGAAGGTATTTTATTAGCTCCTACCAAAGCCACGTTATAAAGTGGTTTTTCAGATTTATATACATCAAATAGCACGTTTTTTCGAAAAATGACAATATAAGTTCCATACATAACTACTATAACTTTTAATTACAAAAATTAAAATTATCAAAGAAATGATTTTTAGAGACGAGCATTAGTTTAGGCTAAGAATATTTGTAAAACATTAACTAATTTAAAAATAATTTTTACAGATAAAGGAAAGGGTAAAATGCATGATTAACGAGTGAAAATTGAGTATTTGAGTGGAACTAGTTTACTGATTGTTGGAAGGTTACATAAACAATGAAAACATTGTTTTTTTTGTTATTGTAGCAGCAAATCTTTCCTGGACTTTCCTTTAAATCTTTACTATTTTTATTAATTTACCTATGATTATCAATTGATTTTTATTTTATTTCGGATTTTGGGTTATCTTTTAGTGAGATCCGACTGTATAAACAACTTTTATGAACTTGTTCACCCAAATACTTCCCTTTAAATCTTTACTATTTTTATATTTTTTCCTTCGGATTACCAATCGGGTTTTTATTTTGGATCATTATTTTCAGTTAAAATCTTACGGGATTAGTCAAATGGGAAAATTAGATGTAAAACTAGATAGATAATACAGTCGGATCTCAACATTGATTAGCCACTAAATGACCAACAAATTTTTCGATTTTTTAATTGAAGTATATTTAAGTCTCCTAAAGCTTTATTTTAAATTCAAGATTTTTAAAATTTGGGGCATTTATATTTGTATCGTTTCCTTTCGTTTTCTATTTCTTAGTTAAAATTCAAAAGTGATTTGTTTCTGTTAGGAAGGTTAACATTAGATTATACATACAGTCAGATCTCTGCACTTATTTGCTATGTTAATTAGCTACCCAACTCAACGTCCAAGTAGAATTTAAAAGTTAATTTGATGTGTATTTATCAAATATTTGTTAAATCTTATTGTGAGATCCGACTGTATCAGGGAACATTTTCAAACGTTAGCATTAAAATACTTTCATTTATATTATCAAAATATTTTTAGTTCATTTCTTCTATGATTATTTTCTTGAGTAAAAGTTAAAGCATTCAAAAAATTTCAAAGAATATTGAGTTATTTTTATCCAAATACCTTGATATGGATATGCGTGTGTAAGGGATGGGACGTGTTACACAAAACCCGAACCACGGAATTTTTTCGACCCGATACCCGATCAACTTTTTTCTCAACCCGTCCCATCCTTGGTGTGTGTGTCCATAGCAAAACTTGTAAAAACTTTTATGTACAAAATTTAAATTGCCAAGAAATTGATTTTTTTAGAAAAGAGTTTAAGCTAGGTTTAAGCTAGGAATATTTGAAAAATACCTACCCGGTTTTACTTAATAGATATTATGATATCATAGATATAGGAGGACAGGTGAATTTCGAGCAAAATGGATATCTGATAAATTCTTCGATATTTATCATAAGTGATCAATCAAGTGATCGAGTGATCAATCAAGTGATTTGATGATCAACAGAAAGAGTGTGATCAAATTAACAATTTTCAAAAAAATGCGACAGATCCGTTATTATTATTTTTTATCAATGGTGTTGAGCAAAATCTAGCTGCAGTTTCTGTCGCATTTTTTTGAAAATTGATAATTTGATCACACTCTTTCTGTTGATCATCAAATCGGCTACCCGACACTTGAGGATATGACTTTTGAGGACCAGACACTTGAGGACCGACTTTTGAGTACGCGACCTTTGAGGACGCGACTTTTGAGGATGCGACTTTTGAGGACGCGACCTTTGAGGATGCGACCTTTGAGGATGCGACTTTTGAGGATCAGACATTTGAGGATACTCTAATGTCAAAAAAAATTAAAAAATAAATAATTTTAATTTTATGTTTAAAAATTTAAATTTTATGATTTTATGGCTTGCTGATTTTATGGCTTGCTGATTTTATGGCTTGCTCTCTCTCTACATTGAAAACTCTCTCTATACATTGAAGACTCTCTTTATACATTTGAATGTCAAAAATCTATTTAATTATTCAACTCTCACATACATTGAATTAAAGACCCTCTCTATACATTGAATTGTTTTTGGTATCGTTTTTTTCAAAGCAAAACAAGGCCCTCTCTATACATTGAAGACTCTCTCTATACATTGAAGACTCTCTCTATACATTGAAGCTCTCTCTATACATTGAAGACTTTCTCTATACATTAAAGACTCTCTCTATACATTGAAGACTCTCTCTATACATTGAAGACTCTCTTTATACATTTGAATGTCAAAAAATCAATTTAATTATTCATCTCTCACTATACATTGAATTAAAGACACTCTCTATACATTGAATTGTTTTTGGTATCGTTTTTTTCAAAGCAAAACAAGGCCCTCTCTATACATTGAAGACTCTCTCTATACATTGAAGACTCTCTCTATACATTGAAGCTCTCTCTATACATTGAAGACTTTCTCTATACATTAAAGACTCTCTCTATACATTGAAGACTCTCTCTATACATTGAAGACTCTCTTTATACATTTGAATGTCAAAAAATCAATTTAATTATTCATCTCTCACTATACATTGAATTAAAGACTCTCTCTATAAATTGAAGACTCTCTCTATACATTGAAGACTCTCTTTATACATTTGAATGTCAAAAAATCAATTTAATTATTCATCTCTCACTATACATTGAATTAAAGACTCTCTCTATACATTGAAGACTCTCTCTATACATTGAAGACTCTCTTTATACATTTGAATGTCAAAAAATCAATTTAATTATTCATCTCTCACTATACATTGAATTAAAGACTCTCTCTATACATTGAAGCTCTCTCTATACATTGAAGACTCTCTCTATACATTGAAGCTCTCTCTATACATTGAAGACTTTCTCTATACATTAAAGACTCTCTCTATACAGACTCTCTCTATACATTGAAGACTTTCTTTATACATTAAAGACTCTCTCTATACATTGAAGACTCTCTCTATACATTGAAGACTCTCTCTATACATTGAAAACTCTCTCTATAATTTTAAACTCTCTTTATACATTTGAATGTCAAAAAATCAATTTAATTATTCAACTCTCACTATACATTGAATTAAAGACTCTCTCTATAAATTGAAAACTCTCTCTATACATTGAAGACTCTCTTTATACATTTGAATGTCAAAAAATCAATTTAATTATTCAACTCTCACTATACATTGAATTAAAGACCCTCTCTATACATTGAAGACTCTATACATTGAAGACTCTCTCTATACATTGAAAACTCTCTCTATAATTTTAAACTCTCTTTATACATTTGAATGTCAAAAAATCAATTTAATTATTCAACTCTCACTATACATTGAATTAAAGACCCTCTCTATACATTGAAGACTCTCTATACATTGAAGACTCTCTCTATACATTGAAAACTCTCTCTATAATTTTAAACTCTCTTTATACATTTGAATGTCAAAAAATCAATTTAATTATTCAACTCTCACTATACATTGAATTAAAGACACTCTCTATACATTGAATTGTTTTTGGCATTGTTTTTTTCAAAGCAAAACAAGGCCCTCTCTATACATTGAAGACCCTCTCTATACATTTTTACATTGCCTATAAAAAATTAATAAAATAAAATAAAAAATTTATTTAACATTTACCAGTCGATTCGAGAATCGGAAAAGGACCCTCTCTATTGAAATGGGTCCTCTCAATAGAAATATTTTTTTAAATTCCTCTCAATAGTCCTTTCAATCCTCCTCTCAATTTTTAAATTAATTTTAATATGTAAATAAAAATTTTAGACAAAAAATGTATTTAACTATTAAATTACTTTTAATTTTTCTTTTGACAATTTTATTTTTCTGTGAAGCAGAACAATCGTCAACAGAAAAAATGACTTGTGTAAATGATTATCTTTTGCTTTCGAAAAGTCTTAAAACAGAAATTTATGCCGGGAAATTAGGAAATGAATGGAAAGTTAAACGAGGAATTCATAAAGAAGTTTTTGGAAGAAAAATTAAAAGGAACTTTGTCATAAAAAAGGAAAAAATGTCAAAATATATTGGAGAGGAAAATGCAAATAAATGTTTTGAATTAAACAAAGATTTAGTTAAACAATATAATGAAAAACTTTTAAATAAAGTTAAAAATTTTTCGTTTAAAGAAAGTATTAAAGCTAAAAAGCCAATTATTATTGAGAATAGTTTCAGTTTAAAAGATTATTTAAATAAATCTAAAAACAATTATTTTATTTTATCTGAAAGTGTTCAAAAGGATTTAGGTAAATAAAAATGTTAAAAACCTAATAACGTACTCTAATAGAAGATTTGGGCTTTTATTTTTCAATACCCCTTATTGAGTGGGCTTCTATTAGGATATGGGCTTCTATTAGTAATGTGCTTCTATTAGAGCTTTTACGGTAATTTAAAAAATAAAGACAGGTATCAAGGAGTAGACCACTCAAAACTTTCAGTAAACTGTCTGAAACCTAAAAATTTATGATATCTAGGTTCAATACCTGATATCTAGTGATTAAATAGAACTCATACACTGTGTAGGTATTTATACCTCGCTTTTGGAGCTGAGGGCTTGATTAGATGCAAAGTAGCTATTTAGAATACAGAAGTTCATTGTTTTAGGTTTTTTATGTTTTCGAATTCTAAGGCTACCTAACAAGAACATTTTCTAATACTATCTAAATATTATTTTCAGACAAAATGTCATTTTGCATAGTTGATAAAATATATGAATTTTATAAGAAAAATGATGAGGGAAACTATTTACTCACAATTTTCTATCCATCAGAAAATATAAAAAATATGAACGATGCTATTTTAGATAAATATAAAATAACTTACGAAAATGAATTGTATATAGCAAAATTGGAGTTCAACCCAATGTTTGGTGGTAAAATTTCTGTAAAAAAGGGTTGGAAGCAAGAAGAATGTGGAAAATTTATCAAACAAAAGAAGTATTAATTTAAATAAAAAACAATTTTTTAATTTTAAATTAATGGTTATTAGGGCTGGGTAAAATAAGCAAATACATGTTTGATGTATTGATATACCTTGAAGAGAGTAGCTCAAAATAAGGGGTTTTACTTAGGGGTATTACAAGTTTCAAATAATTTCCTCTGTGATGTTAAAAAGAAATAGCATTTATTTTTTCTTTCGTTCTCTCCCCATATTTTGACCCCATTCAATTATTCTCTCCCCTCTTTTATTGTAAACTCCCAATTCCCCCATTCTAGGTTCATTCGTAATTTATGTTCTTATTTTGTTTGAAAAGAAAAGTAAAAAGGTTTATATTTTGTATTTGTTTATTAAATTGATCTGTGAGAAAAGAAGAGGAGAGTTTAAATTAGTGTGGACACTTATTTTATTTATTACTTGGCGCTCCTGAGGAAGAGGTTGTTCTTCGTGTGGTGAAAAGAAGAAAATTTATTTACGAATTGACTTTTTGTTTTTTGTTCTTCAATTGGCCCTCGGTGGACCAAATTTATTCGATTTGTTTGGAAACTGGTCTCTGGAAAGACCAACAACAAAATTGTTTGAAAGTTATTCCTCGGTGGGATAATTTTCGGATTGACAACTGTTTTTTGAGATTTTTTTACAAAAGAAATCTTATTCAGTTTTCCCTCGGCGGGTTGATTGAATTTTCTACGTGTCAAATTTTAGCCTCGGTGGATAAAATTTGAAGTTGGCTTGAAAAACATCAAAAAATGGATAATACACCTCAAAATATGAATCAATATTTTCTTCACCATCAAACTCCAATGAATATTCCCATCAATACGCAATTAGGGCTTCCTAACAATCAATTCTACGGCTTCCCAAATTTGTTTTACCATCCAAATTATGCTCTTCCTCAACAAATGATATACCATCCGTCCTCTTTCATCCCACCAGAATCAACTCACCTAATCGAACAGAATTCTACTTTCATTTCCGAAAATACGTCACAAGCGGACATCGAAAAACTACTTTTGGAAACGATTCCAGATTTAGACGGAACCGAAGGAAATTTTGGGATAAGAAAATTCTTCAAGAAATTTGACCTAGCATTACAAGACTGGTCGGAGAAAAAGAAGATTTTTGCTTTAAAATCCAAGTTGTCTGGCAAAGCAAGAAGTTACTTCATTCTTGCAATCAAAGCCAAACACTACAACTATAAATCGATTAAAAATTTCATCCTTTGTCAGCTCCTTCCATCTGAGTACAAAGTTGAGGAGTCAATCGATTTAGTTAAAAAGCGAACCAATTCCCCTCAACAAAAGAAAAATTTGAAAGGTCATGAGAATAATTTGAAACCTCAAAACATTCCCACGCTATCTTTCAAAAATAGGGTCAACATTCAATTTGAAAAAGAAGAATTTTCGAAAGAAATTTTGGAATTTTTTGAGATGCCAATCAATCAAAATTCGGCCAAAGAAGAAATCGTAATTGAAAATTTACAAAAGGGAAAGTTATTGGAAAATTTTGTACCAACTGTTGAAAATGAGTTAATGGTGGAAAAAGATTTAAATGTTGAATCCTTGGAAGATTTCGGAAAAGAACAATTTTGTGAATTAAATGTGGAACCTGTATGCTCCTTAGATGGAAATCAGGATTTTACATCTGTTGAAGTTACTATTCCAGCAGAATGCTGTGTTTTTCATGAAATCTCTTCTGAGGATATTCCTGGTTCTCATGAAGAAATTAAGGAAGAAATTGCATGTTTTGAAAGTGAAGAATGTTTTGATTTGGAAAAGGTGGTTGAAGATTTTGTGGATTTGAAGGAAAAAGTATGTGATATTGGTGCTGGTTTAAAGGAATTAGGAGACGATGATTTGGAAGTGATAGGAGAAGGAGGTGATTATCGTTATGATTTGGAAGAGAAAGAAATTGAAAAGTGTGTTGATTTGGAAGAATTGGGTGAAAAGGATTTTGTTCTGGAAGAAAAAGTTGAGGAAAAAGGAATTTTGGGATCCAAATTGGAGGTGTTTGAAAAGGATCCTGAAAAGGAAATCCTCCCGACAAGAGACAAATTGGATGTTTTGAAAGAAAATGACAATATTGTTAAGGAAAAAAGAAATGTTTTAAGATTAAAATTGAGGGAATCAAGAATGTTTGCAAAGCTAAGATGTGAGCTTCTAAGGAAGGAAATTTTAAGGAATTATTTTGAAAATGATATGGAATGTGGATTTTTGAAAAGAAAAATCATGGGACGATTTTTTCTCGGAGTTCGAAGGTGTTTGAACTCGGAAAAAATGGTCACGCTGATCAGAGTCCCTAAATTTTCAAAGAATTTTAAAAAGGAAATGGACCGACCATCAATTGCATGAATTAGAGCCAATGAAAGTCTTGAAATTTGTCTCGGTGACAAAACAAGACGTAATTCGTGACTCAAAAGGTGTTGGAATTGAAAAAGATTGAAAGAAAAGGAAAAGAATGCAAGGAAAAGGACTTGTAGAATCGGTGTCGGTGACCGAAATTCTCACCTTTGGAGTCGAATTGGAAAGATTTCATCGAAGATCGGGTTTAGTAAATCGAGTCGGCCTCGAGAACCCTATGATCACTTTGACACTCAGAACTAGAAAGAACAACCTCGCCGCCCAAGACCTTTCGCGAAACACGCCGAGATGGAAGAACTTATTCTGACGTCGAGGACGTCGTCATCTGAAGCGAGCGGGATGTGATGTTAAAAAGAAATAGCATTTGTTTTTTCTTTCGTTCTCTCCCCATATTTTGACCCCATTCAATTATTCTCTCCCCTCTTTTATTGTAAACTCCCAATTCCCCCATTCTAGGTTCATTCGTAATTTATGTTCTTATTTTGTTTGAAAAGAAAAGTAAAAAGGTTTATATTTTGTATTTGTTTATTAAATTGATCTGTGAGAAAAGAAGAGGAGAGTTTAAATTAGTGTGGACACTTATTTTATTTATTACTCCTCACTAGGGATCACATCGCTTACTTAGTGCGACTTTTATATACTTTCTGAAACCATTCAACAAAGGAACCATCCGATAAACCTTTTTCTTGAAGAATAATTTTTATCCGAGTTATGGCCCTTCAACTTTGGATTTTTACTCAAAAACCTCTTTTTCTTCCTCGCGCCTCGTGTATTTTTTTCTCAATTGTAAGACAATGTCAAGAAAGTATAGAGAATGAAATAGAAGCAGCTCGCTTTTTTCCTTTACACTTTATATCAACGCTCCCATGATTAAAAAAATTTTACGAGTCATGTTAAATAAAAAATATTAATACTACATAGAATATAAATTATTTTTCTAGACATTCTAAGGAATTTTTCTCGATGTTTTCTCCAAGCCAATTATTCTTTGAGAAATTTCCAAAAGGTAAAATTATTTAAAATAATTTATTAAATTAAAAATCTTGCTACCAAAGTGTGCGAAGCTTATCTAACGGATATTTAAATATTAAATTTTGTGTTAACCAGTATGTTTAATTTTCCCAGTAGGATGAATTTAGTAAAATTAAGATTATTTGTTCTTGCATTATTTCGATCAGTATAACTTATTATATTCTTTATTATCTTGGGATTTTGAACTCTTATTTTAAGTATTTTTGCAACTATTTTCGAATAAATACTAATAAATATTTTAGAAGAATCTATTGCAGTTTTTATGACACAAAAACTTAAGTTTTTAATATTTTGTAAATTATGGCATTGCCACAAAATTTCAACTTTCTTTTACTTATCTTGATTTAAAAAATAATTTTTGTTTTTAGATTCAAGTTTTACGGGTTTTGAAGTTAATGAAGAAAATGAAAACGAAATTAAAAATATGTATTGTAGTATTTGTGAGGAAAAGTTGGTTATATTCAAAAATGGGAAATATAAAGAAATTACAAAGACAGATTGCAATGTTGGTCTAATTTATAAAAAAATTATTTAAAATTTTAAATATATTTTAGCATAATTTTCACAAAGAATGTCTTCAAAATTGGTAATTATTTTTCTTGCAGTAGTTTAGCGCGGTACGAGCATTAGTGACCGGGTTTCTATAGCATATCTTTGCATATTTCGGTACTTTCGTGCTTATTTACATATCTGTGCATATTTTGGGAAATTTTGCATATTTTTAACTAAATTTTTGATGCATATTTAATGCATATTTTTTGCAAATTTGGCATATTTTGGTGCATATTTGGCATATTTTGGTGCATATTTTTCGTGCATATTTTGCCACTCCCTACTCATTAAATACTGTATCAGATGGAGTATTTAATTAAATAAAAAATTTTTCCTAAAATTGATTTTCAACTGTGATGTTTTCATTTTACAT